TAATTCTTCTAACAATCCTAGGAAGCAGCATTTTCATATTTATGCAACATATAAGACTTAAAGAACTGCCCTATCTTACAAAATTAGCAAGCATTAGATTCTAGATACGAGCTTAAGTAATATTAAACCCAAAACCTGCTTAACAATTGTTATTCAATATCACCTCCAAGACAGTCTTGCACTCAGAAATCTTGCTACACACACACACACACACACACACACACACACACACACAAGGAAGAATTTGGCTAGGTAGAGAAACCCTAGAAAGAGAATATTAGACAAAAGCAATAGTAAATGTTTCAAAATATCAGTCTTATGCACCATTTTTCACTAAAATATGACTGGAGCATGTACTGAGACTGCCTGAATAACAGGTAAATCAAAAAGCTCAATAAAGAACATGTTGATTACACGTTTAAAGAGGGAAAAAAAAGCTGACCTGATTTCTAAGCACTAAGTCAAAACACTCTTCCTCATAAGTTTTCTGGGACACTGTAGGCACCATTCTAGAAGCTGTACCATCCAGGATTTTAATTCTAGAGTTTCTTACTTAGGGAAACTTCCAATAGGGACGCAATAAGATAGAATAGAAATAGCAAACATCTGGGGGCCAATATACTGAAGCCTTTCATAACAATATGTATATTAAAACATTACATTGTATACTTCAAATGTATACAGGTTTTATTTGTCAAATGTACTTCAATAAAGCTGATAGAAATTTTTTAAGTTACAGAACTTGAAGATACAATAATTGAAATTATACAAAGTAGACAAAAACTAAAGGGAGCTTCACAAGCTATGCTAGAACTTCCAACAGCTTCTTGTACATGTAATTGGAATTCTGAAGTACAGGAAGAGGAGCACAGGGGGAAAAATGAGAAACAACCACTAAAGTATAAAGACAATGACTTCATAGTTCCATGTGTATCAAACAAATGGAAGTCACCACTCTGCGCTATCAAGTAAAATCTGAACAAACTTAAAAACAGACAACTGTATTGAATTGATGAGATCTGAGGTTCCAAGGACCATTACTGCCTCCAAATGAGGAGACAGACAGACTGATACAGAGGACAACCTCCCAGACCAGAAGCCTCTGCAGAAATCAGTGCTCTGATTTTCTTTTCTTTTTTCTTTGTTTCTATTTTTAACAGTACAGAAATGTAAATGACAACCTGCTGGTGGCTTGGTGCAAATAAATTTGATAGTTAAAAATCTGCTGGTATTCTGGTCATATGGGGCCCATACTTTATAGACATTAGCTCCAGAAGCTTGGCTGGATTCTTGAAGAGCAGAGAAAGATGTTCATGCTTTGAGCAGGGAGTGAGGGAAATAATCATTGTGAAATTGGCCAAAGCACCCAATGCTTCCCAATAAGGCCTATACTCATGAAAAACCAGTTAAACAAAGCCCAACCTTTGGGGTTTTAGCAGAGCCTAATTGACCTAGGAAAAGGAAAGTGCCCACCTCCAGCCAGCTCTAGCCCTGCATGTAGAAGAGAAATACCCACCTGCAGTCCCCTCCAACCATCCTGACCCAAATTAGGGGAAGAGGGGGACGGTTGAGAAACACTTGTGAAGTTCTCAAAGGCAGAAGCTTACTAAAAGACCGAGACCTCGTTGTAAGACTGTAGAACACTTCCCCTTCCCTCACAACACATTACAGTTCTTTTTACACAATATATCATGTCTAGCTATCAGAGAAAAATCTACAAGGCATGCTAATAGGCAAAAAAAAACTCAGTTTGAAAAGACATAGTGGGCACCAGACCCCAAGGAAAATGTAAAGAAAATGTAAAACTGTTAGAAAATGTAAAACTCCTATAATTAATATACTAAGAATTCTAATGTACAAAGTAGACAGCATGCAAAAACAGCTGGGTAATGTGAGCAGAGGAATTAAATCTTAGGAAAAAACCACAAAGAAGTGCTAGAGATCAAAAGCATCATAAGAGAAATGAAGAAAGCCTTTGATAGGCTTAATTAATAAGACTGGGCACAGCCGAGGAAGGATTCTCTGAGCTTGAAGCCATAGACAATATTAACTGAAACTTCAAAAACTGAAAAATCAAAGAGAACAAAGACTTTCAGAAGCAGAACACTGAAGAACTATGAGATAACTTCAAAATATGTAATATACTCTATAATAGGACTATCATAAGGAGAGAAAGAGAGAGTAAATATTTGAACCAGTGAAGACTGAGAATTTCCTCAAACTAACTGTCAGACAGTAAATTACACATCCAGGGAGGTCAGAGAACACCAACCAGGATAGATTAATACAGATATATAAAAAGCCATGCACCCAGACTATCATTTTGAAACTACATAAAATTAAAGATTTTTTAAATGTTGAAACAGGCCCAAGAGGTGGTCATTTTACTGGTAGAGATGAAAATAATAATTATATCCAACTTCTCAGAAATCATGCAAGCAATAACAAGTGCAGTGAAATATTTAAAATGTTGAAAGAAGAAAACACCAACCTAGAATTCTACATACTGCTAAATTATCCATCAAAAGTAAAGGAGAAATAGAGACCTCTTCAGACAAACATTGAAGGAAATTATTGTCAATATAACTGTCTTACAAAATATACTATAAAAATTCATTAAAGAATAAGAAAATATAGGTCAGGAATTCATGTCTACACAAGGAAAAATACTAAAGATGAAATAATTAAAGGTAAAATAGCTTTTGTTTTTCATATTGTGGAAGGAACGTAGCACACAAGATAATTCAAGATAATGCCAACAATGTACCCAATTCTGTATGCTTATTATGTACCTCTATATGCTTATGGATGCTTATATACAAGTAAAACTAATGACATAAATGATAAAAAGGATAGTAAAGAATCAGTATGTTTTGTTCTTAATATAGATTTTGTATTACACATGAAGCAGTATAGTTTTATTTGATGAGATCAGGCACATTCAGGGTGGTATGGCCACAGTCTAGTGTTATTTAAAAGTGGGCTTGGGTTGGCTATAAATGTATATTGCCAACTTTAGGTAAATTAAAAAGTTTTTTTAAAGTATAACTGATGTTAACTGATATGCCAAGAAAGGAAGGGACATTAAATCATATAAATGCTCAACTAAAACCACAAGGCAGGAAACGGTAGAAGGAAAAAGTAGTCCCAAAACAAGGGCAACAAATAGAAAAGTATAGCTAACGTGGTAAATTGTAACCCAATTATACTATAATCACACTGAACATCAACGTCCCAAATGCACCAGTTAAAAGGCAGAGATCACCCTTGCTAATTTTTTAGAGGCACAGCTATATGTGACTCATAAGAAATTCACTTTAAATACAGATACATACACATTAAAGGCAAACAATGGAGACAGGTACAGATATACCAAATTATCACTAATAAAAAGAAATCAGAAGTAGCTATACAAAAACAAAGTTGTCATAGATAAAAGGGGTATTATATAATGATTAAAAGATCAATTATCCAAGAAGACACAACAACCCTTAATGTGTGTGTCCCTCAAAACTGATCATCAAAATATGAGAGGCAAAAACTGATAGAACTGTAAGAACAAATGGATGAATCCCTTATTACAACTGAAGATTTCAACTACTCACAGTCAGAAATGACAGATCTGGCAGACAGAAAATCAGTAAGGACAGAGTTCAATTTAATAACACCATCAATCAACTGGAAATAACTGGCATCTATAAGACTTCATCTAACAGCAGCAAACGTCATGTTCTTCATACAATCTCTATTCTGCTCTTAGGCTGCAAGAGAACTAAAGTAGAAATAAATAACATGTAACTGTGAAGTCCCAAAATACATGGAGATTAAATAAAACTTTTAAATATAATGCTCTAAATGAGTCAAAGAGGAAGCCTCAAAAGAAATGTAAATGTGTTTTGCGCTAAATGAAAATGAAAACAACTTCAAAATTTGTGGGATGTGCAAAAGCAGTGCTTATGGAACAATTTATGGTAGTTAATTCATGTACTAGAAAAGAAGAAAAGAGAGATGGGAATGTACCTGAGCGGCATTCTCACCTGCCTGGCAAGTGCAAGGTCCTGAGTTCAAACCCCCGTACAGCAAAAAAAAAAAAAAAAAAAAAAAAAAAAAAAAA